GGGACTATGTAGTGAATGAGGCCCTTTATAGTACTGACATTCTATGTTCTATCTGTATTATTCTCTCCACGTGATGGAAGAGGTGATTGAGGCCCTAGCTGGCTCAGTGCCTAAAGCCTGGAAGACCTGAGTTCAGATTTAGCCTCAGATACTTCCTAGCTGTGTGACCCTGGGCACGTCATTTCACAATTGCTTACTCCTCAGTTTCCTCAGCTATAAAATAGGGATGTAATATAAATCAAACAAGTTGTTTGTTAATACTCTGCTTAGCATAGTACCTGACACATAGTAAGCTTCATGAAGGCTTCTTTCCTTCCTGAGGATAAGGGAAGTAGAGGCTCATCCGAAATCATACAGTGAGTTATTGGCAATCAGAGAATAATGCCAAGTCAGTCTTTGGATTGAGGAAGGAAGCTGAGTTTTGCAGTCCTGGTTCTGCCAGCCTCCTCCCCAGTGTGGGCCCTGCTCAGTGGTCACTTCTAGGTGGCTGGCCTTGCTCTCAGCCATGAGCTGTCAGTCTCCCCTGTGTGGGCCCTGCTCAGTGGTCACTTCTAGGTGGCTGGCCTTGCTCTCAGCCATGAGCTGTCAGTCTCCCCTGTGTGGGCCCTGCTCAGTGGTCACTTCTAGGTGGCCAGCCTTTCCATTAAGCTAGTTCCCTCTGAGTCTTCTCTACACTAAACTCCCTTAAATGAGACTCGTGACATGATTTCAGATTCTTTCCTCCTGGTTGTCCTCCTTTGTACATGCACTGGCTTAGAACTGGACCCAGTACTGCTTGTGGAGGCTCTGAGCCAGGCACAGGCTTTGTGACTATCCCATCCCTTTTTCTGGCTGATTTATTCAGCCGTAGATCACACAGGCTCTTTTTTTTTGGGGGTGGGCTGGGGTGGAGGGGGTTACAGGTCACACTTGTGACTGTCACTGAGTGTGGTCCACTAAAGCCATCAGGTCTTCTTCATTCACTTGAATTGCTTGCTGTCCAGCCACATCTCCCTGGCAAGGCAGGGACAAGGGGTTGGGGGCACATGCATTCTTCTGTTTGGTTGACTAGAATCACATCCATAGGGCCAGGCATTGGTTTCCCGGAAGCTGCAGTGGTCATGCTAGGAAAAGCGCCTTCTTAGCCAGTGAGTTCTCTGTGATGGAAGCTAATCGGCAGTCCCAGATTCATAAAGAGCGTTGTTTCTTTATGGTGACCCCTCCCAACCCTGACTTAGGAGGGAGCAGAGGCCTAACTTCTGGGGCCTTAGGAAATAGCCGCCAGCAGGAAATAGGAATGAAATGGCAATCTTGGAAATCTTGGCGTGTATTAAGAGGCCATTAATGACCTGATTCAGAGAGAACCTTAGCCCCACCATTTGCCAGCACAGCTCCAGACAGAGGGGACCCAGCCTTGCCCTCTATCCATTCCACTTCTTTCAACAGACACTTGCCTAACACCTTCAGTTCCCTCCTTTCCTGGTGACCTGGAGCAGGTACTCTAAGCCATCCTTGTTTCAGAATTACCCAGAAAGGAGAAGTAACTTGTCCACAATCACCCAGCTCGGTAGTGGTGAGAGCTGAGATTTGAACCGAGGTCTCTCTCTCCATGACACCCCCAGGAGGGGTCACAACAGCTCGCTTAGCCCCTCTTCCCAGGGGCCAACTTTTGTTAAGGCATGAAGGTTGATAGCAAAATACAATGTGTTCCACCCTTATTCCTCTTTAACACTATGAGCTCCCATCACTCCCATCCCAGGGTCCTTCAGAGTTAGACTGGCATGTTTACATGGGCTGTTGGGTCAGGGCCTAGAGCAGCAGCTTGAGAGGTCTGGGACTGGGAGTACTGAAGAGAGAGGTGGTCAGGGCCTACAGAGTCTGGGGTCTGGGACTGGGGGCACTAAAGGGAGAGGCCAAAGCCCAATTTTGCTTTCTTTTCCTGACACATGAATCTGCATCTGAGGGCCTCCATGCTGCAGCCCCATTCTGCTGGCCCAAGCTGAGTTCCTCCTGCTTCTGCTGTTTGTCTGCTAACCCTGAGTTATAGCCTGAGCCACACGAGAGTTTGAGTACGACCTACACCTGCCATGGGCTTTCTTCTAAGATTCCTCTCAGCTATGATTGTGCATGTTCTAGGACCCTTCCCACCCCGAGGTTCCAAGGCTCATGCCCCTCAGGCCTCACTTCCTGTGTTCTTAGCCCCTTCCCCACATAATACTCTCTTATTCCACAAAGCCCTCAGGAGCAGTCAAAAGATGAACCCCCCGGCTGCCAGGATAGGGGTTACAAGAATACACCAGGCTATCAGAGGCCAGAAACCTGGGCAAGACAGACAGACAGACAGATGGGAGGACGGCCTGCTAGTCACAAGCAGAATGCCTGAGGGGAAGAAAAGGCTTTATCCCGGAGAGGTTCTTCATTTCATTCTTGCCAGAGCATGACTCAACCCTAGGGCAGGGGCAGCCCCGGTAACTTGTCCAGAAGGGAGACTAGGAAGTGGCTGAGGAAGGCTCCAAGGAAGACACCTTGGAGCAGGCAGGCCTTGGAGGAAGTGAGGTGGCTCTTGGGCAGCCTCCTCAGAATGGCCCCTGGCCAGCAGGGCCCTTCCCCTTCCACCACCGGCCAGTGGGCCTGGGCTCCTTCCGCCAGACTCCATAGTCCTCCCAGCTTGCCTAATGGTATACATTGCTACAAGGACAGAGGCAGCATCCTGGTCTTCTGGGCCAACTGGCTAGCTCTTTCCCATCAGCGTCCCCCATTCCCCCCCACCCCCGCCCCACAGCTGTGTTGAGAAACACAGCCAGTGGACACTGTGGGCCTGAGGCCAAGGCACAGCAGGGAACAGGGGCAGGCAGCAGATCCGGGGGGAGTGGTTCAGCTGGGACAGGCAGCTCTGTGTGTGTGTGTGTGTGTGTGTGTGTGTGTGTGTGTGTGTGTGAAAGACAGAGGCAGAGAGGTAGAGAGAGACACGAGGGAGCAGGAAACAACAGGGAGGCGAGCTGGCTATGTGATCCCCTCCATTGCCCTCCTGGTGTCAGGCCCAGTATCCCAGAGTGAAGGTCACTGTCCAGGGAGGGCTCTCAGAAGGAAGTATGGGGGCAGGGGATGGCCCAAGCAGACAGGATCTTTCCATGGAATAGGATTTCCCCCCCTTGGTTTTCAAAGGTGATCATTAATATTTTTTCAAGCAGAGTCCAGTATGTGCTTGAATAGGTGCTGAATAAATACTCCAGGCTTGGTAGATGGAGTCCTTGTGGGGATAGCCAGGTATGGTTGGGGACAGCTCCAAATTTGGAAGCCAGTCCCAGTCCTGACCCATAGTAAGTGTGTGTCCTTGGGCAGGTCATGTCCCCCTTTCTGGCTTCAGTTTATTGAGTTGTAAAGTAGAGATGTGGGGGCAGCTAGGTGGCACAGTGGATAGAATACCTGGCCTGGAGTTAGGAAGACTCCTTTTCCTGAGTTCAAATCTCAACTCAGTCACTTACTAGCTGGGTGACCCTGGGCAAGTCACTTCACCCTGTGTGCCTCAGTTTCCTTATTTGTAAAATGAGATGGAGAAGGAAGTGGCAAATCCCTCCAGTGTCTCTGTCACAAAGGGGTCACAAAGAGTCAGACATGGCTGAAAAAATGACTGAAAAGTAGAGATAAAATCTGGCTCCCTTTGTCCCCACCCCAGGCAGTCACAGCGGCCTTCCCCAGACCTCAGAGAATGCTGTTGTGCCTTCTCTAATGCCTTTAAGATGTAATTACTGGGGCTAGGGTTTAACCCTCCTGCTGGAGGGTCATCTGCATGTTAGCTTGGTACCCTCCTAGTCCCCAGGACACCAAGGTCCTCCAACACTGGTGCTTGGGAAAGGTTCAGAATGACTATTGTGTCCTTCCTCAGGCATCTCAGGGTTGGGAAGCTTAAGCTGCTGTAGAACAGCTTCAGTGCCTTCTTCCCATCCCCTCGATCCCGGAGGGTCCCTGGGCTCCCTGTTGTAAAGTCCCCTGCCCTGGGCAGGACAGAAAGCACACCCAGACGAGGCCAGAGCCAAGAGACCCGAGTTGGAATCCTGGCTCGGCTGCCAAGAAGCTGTGTGACGTGGAACTGGTTCTATCTCCTCTGTGGTCCTCAGTCTCCTCGTGTGTAAAATGAGGTCTGGCTCTCTCTACTCCTACGGTCCTGACAGGCTTCTTCCAGCCTAGAGCTGCCAGCCCTTCAACTTCTCAGCGTGCTGCCTGGCAACCCCCTCAAACCCCATCGGTGGCTCCCTAACCTGGGGCGACAGGAAAGCTAAGGGCTGGAGAAGGCAGGAGGGAGTCCAGCTGGGGGCCTTCTCTATCCTCCTGGCATCAGGGAGAGCCTGGAGGCCGGCCTGGAGAGAGGAGCAGGCTGCCAGAGCCCAGGAAGTGTGGAGAGGGCCGCAGGGCCCCCGGGAGCACTAGCCTAGGCAGCCAGGACCCCAGGAAATGGGTTTGCCTCCTGGGCCAGGGGCTGGCCTGGGGACAGCATTTCCGACCTGGACAGCGGCTTTCACTCAGGGACTAGCTCTTTACAGTCTGTTTGTCCATGGGAAGTCGGTGTGGGACCCGGCCACCCCTAGGCGGCTGTTATCCAGCCAGCAGACCACACGCCTGCCACGCCCCCCCCTCCCCATTAGAGACTCACAGAATCTCTCCAGATCCTGAGGACTGGGCAGGAAGGCCTGGACATGGGCAGCCCAAGAACCGCCTCAAGGGCGGCTTGGTGGGGAGCAGTGGCATTTCTACCTAGGCAGCCCGTGGGGAGTTTGTGGGAGTGTCTCTGTGCCCTGGTCTTCTCCCGTGGCTCAGCAGTTCATTCAGACAACAGATAGGAATTTAAAACCAACGGAAACGCAGACCCGCCGTGCAGACCTCCCCCCTGCGCCCCGGGGCCCTGCCTGCTCCCCCCAGCGCCCCGGGAGCCTCGGGAGGAGGACTCGGGGGCCCGAGCCGGGCCGGGGAGCATCCCGCGCCGCGGGGCCAGGCTGGGGCTCGGCCCATCGCACCATACTCACCGTCTGGTTATCCTCGTACAGCTTCAGGTCGTAGCCACTGAGCTCCACGCAGAAGATGATTGCTGTAACCCCCTCGAAACAGTGAATCCATTTTTTGCGCTCTGACCTCTGACCCCCCACGTCCACCATTTTGAACGTCAGCTCTTTGAAGGTAAACTTGTTCTCCACGATGCCGGTGGTCATGTCCCGCGAGCGCAGAATGTCCTCCACCGTGGGGATGTAGTCCAGCGCGGCGATGCGCTCCAGGTCGTTCAGGTAGTAGGCAGCGTTGTCCTCCAGGTGGTACTCGCTGGAGCGGCAGAAGCACTGCTGCACCCCGGGGTCGGCCCAGAGCCGCTTCATGACCCCCAGCAGCTCGGGGGTGATCTCCCCGCGGCTCTCCGCCGGGCCCGTCAGCGCGAACAGCTGCACGGCGTCATAGGCCCGGTCCGGGTTGTGGAACTCGATCTTGAGGGCCGCCAGCGCTCGGATGATGCGCGTCAGGGAGTCGATGGCGTTGTACACGATCAGGGGCTTGTACTCCTTGCAGGCCTCCAGGTTGAAGCCCCCGCTGTGGATGATCTTCATCTGCTTGACAATGGTGCTCTTGCCCGAGTTGCTGGTTCCCAGGAGGAGCAGCTTGATCTCGCGGCGCTGGCGCTGACTCTCCGAGCGCAGGTGGCGGTCAATCCTCCTGGACCGCCGGGCTGCCTCTTTGTCCTCCGAGCTTTGCCGACATCCCATGGTATAGCTGCGGGGAGCCGACCGAGAGGGCGGGGAAGCTGAGACCGGGTCTGGCTCTGCCTCTGCCTCTGCCTCTCCCGCCTGCTCCTCGGTGCCTCTGAGTGAGTAGCTGCGGTATCTTGGAGTCCGCGTGCCAGGTGCACCCTGTGGAAAAAAGAATAGAGCTCTCCAATACCTGATGGGCCAACAGGTCTGTACCAACCGGCTCAGTCCCAGCAGGGGTGTGAAGACCTGCGGGTGGGCAGCCGCAGACGGACTGTTTCTTCCCTGCCTCTCATGGTGCTCCCCTGCCCACGGAAGAAATGGTGGCACATTCCCTTTAGTGAGAAGACACGTCCCTTGTCCTCGGCTTGGCCCAATCTCTCAGGTACCCCCTTCTCTTCTGCATAATGATTTGCCCTCCTTCTGGCCGAAGGTGAGGAACTGCCTAGCTCGACCTCGGCGTCCGTCTGTCAGCCTTTTAGCTGTGTTTTCCTGTTGCTCGGGTGATGCTGCCAGGCCCGGCTGGAGAACTGGTGCAGCCTCCTGGTGCTGCCACTGCTGCGGTGCCCTCTCGGCCCCTCCTGGCTTGGGCTCTTCCGCGTCAGATCTGGGCATCCCCGTCCCCCGCCTGCCAAACAGAGAACAAGCAGTGAGACCCAGATGGACTGATCTCCCTCTCTTGCTGCCTGCATCCTTCCGCATCTTTCTCTCTCACGAGCACCCCCAAGCACCCCCGAGCTGCAGAGGATAAGCAAAGGAAGGCAATTTCTGAGAGTCCAAGCCTGACAGCCCCGCCAGAAACACAGGAACAGCCGATGTGTCCGGGCCTTGGAACAATGGGAAATCAAATGCCCTTTTCTTTCCAGCCTGCTGTGGTGTTATTACCCAAACCCACAGGAAAACAAACAGTGTCTCCTGTGTCCCAATTTACTCCCAGCTAGAGCCAGCCGCTGGTCTGCCCAGCCCTGTTCTGACTGGTTTGCCTGAAGCAAAGGACGAAAGGGAAAGGTGAGGCTCAGTGGGGCCTAGGCTCTGGCCTTGACCCGCCTCCTCAGCCCAGCCCACTCTGTGTTTACTGTACCATTCATTCCCTCCCTCTGCTCCTGGCCTGTGGGTCCAGGCTCAGCTTCCCAGTCCCGGCCCCACCTCTGGGGTTTGTGCGGCTTCCTTTGGGGAGAGAAAACTAGATTAATAGAGAGCTGCTTGAACTGGGATTCAGGAACCCTGGGCTTAAGTCAGGAATGCTGCCTGGGTGACCTTAGGCAGCTCCCCTCCCTCCTCTGTCAAGGAGGGGGAGATGGGGTCACAGCGACTGGAAGGGCCCTTCCCACTGTGGCTCTGCAATCCTGGGAGGGTGACTGTGACATGCCTGCTGGACAGCTCACATTTCTGAAGCACTTCACAGTTGACGAAGCACTTTCCTCCCAGTGATCCTATAGGACATTCAAATCCAGCAAGGTTTTTGAAACACCCACTAGTCATCGGGCACTTTGCCAGGCATGGGGGATACAGAGAAACTTACATTCTACTGGGTGGGGGCCCATCATCACAGATAGGGATGATATGGAGGAGAGACTGAAGGGGGCAAAGGAAAGATCAGACCGAGGGCTCTGGGAATCTTTGAGGAGGGGGCAGTCATTGGCATCTGGAGGGGAGTGGGGGTCTAAGGAAGTTGAGCCTCGAAGGGAGAATGTGAAGCCTGGGCACTAGCTAGGAATGCAGTTGGTCTGGAACCCAGAGTGGATGAAGGAGAGTAACCTGGAATAAGGTTGGAAAGGGGTTAGAGCCCGATTAGAGGGGCTTGAAATGCCAGGCTGAAGAGTTAGTGGGTAGGTTTTTGAGTAGGGGAATGACGTAGACAGGCCTGTTCCTTGGCAGTTTAGAGGATTGTCTGGAGATGAGAGAGACTGCAAAAGTCCAGGCCAAAGGAGAATGAATGCCCAAGTTGTGCTGGTGGACCTAGGAGGAGGGGACAAACAGGAGAGATGGTTATCATGCCTTAGAGGGGTAAGCATTATTGTCCTTATATTACAGTTGAGGAACCTTGAGGTTCAGGGTGCAGTCCAAGTGCTAGGTGTCAAAGCCAACCAGAGCTCAGCATTCTGTTCACTGCCCCTCACTGTCTCCCAATCCATGCAGCAAAATGTCACATTCCCTGAGCAAGGGCCTTGGGCAATCCAAAAATAATGACTTCCTTTAAAGCTAGTAAGAAAGACAAGCACACACGTGAACTGATGATATAAAATAGGGAATGACAATCAATGCTTCTAGATGTTCAGAGAAGGAAAACTGAGAAGGCTTCTTGCAGGAGGTCAGACTTGAGTCAGTTTGGCTTGAAGGGGTGGGGGCTGGACTTTAATATAAAATCTTACATGGGTTCAAAAAAGCAACTTCACCAGTACAAGAGAGGGGAGGCCTGTCTAGACAACAGTTGGTCTAAAACAGACTTGGGAGTTCAGTGTCTGTTAACAATGTGGCATGACAGCCAAAAAGCTCACGGGACCTCAGGCTGTAGTAAGAAGACAGCATCCAGGACTAGGGAGGTCGTCGTCCCATCTAGAGGACTTGCTTCTGAGCAAGGAAAGATGTGGGACAGTAGTAGAGCGTCTCAGTGAGGACAGCTTGCATGATGGGTGGCCTTCGGTTTGTCCAGTAGGTCAATCAGTGGAGAAGAGAAAACTTAGGGGGACTCATCTTTAATAATGGCCTTGGAGAGCAGGAAGTAGGACTTGCAGAAAGACAAGTCGAGGCTTCATAAAGGGAGAAACCTCCTAACAATGAGAGCTGTCCCAAAGTGGAGCAGGCTACCATGGGAGCCGGTGGGTTTCCTTTCATCAGAGGGCTTTAAGCATGGTGGGAGGTGGGGAATGCTACAGAGGACATTCTTATTCAGCTATGGGTTTGACTAAGTGATCTCTTTTAGAACTTCTCATTCTAAAGAAGAGGGAGATGCTAGGGGGACAAAGGGACCCAAGAAAAGGCTTGGAAGACGGGGAATATAAGCCATATTTGGGTGATGCTGAGTGGTTTCCTTTCCAGCTCCCCAAATGGTGTTATACATGTGTAGAACACTGGACAGTGTGGGTCCTGGGAAGGATAAGATAGTCTTACAAATGGGGCTTTGGGACATAGATCCCCATACTGAGATATTTCATGAATCAGTAGCCATTCAAAACCTTAATGCATGATCCCTCCTTCACTGATGTCAGCTTTGATCAGCCAGCCAGAGGATATATTCATTTGAAAAAACTTGCCTATATACACATGGGTAAACTCCCACAGGTTATCATCCTACTAGTGGGGGAGGGCCCCATGCAAAAAACATATGTGACAATTGAACATGTATGGGATCATATGTGTAAGGAACATTATAGCCAGAGAATATAGATGAGAGAAAGATGCCAGGAACCTGAGGGGCCAGAGCATGTATGGAAGGCACACAAGTTAGGGACATACATGGCCAGGGCAGTTCACACCTCTGAGAAGTTTCAAGGCTACTAATGTCCTTCCTTCAGTGACATCATTCTTTGCTGGGCTCTGCTTTTCACTAGGCTTGTTGTCTGTCTTGGGTACATTATCTCCATGCTGGGCATCATTTCTCCAGTGGATGTATTTGTTGAGCATCTCCAATTTTCACTGCTCTATGGCCACTGAGTTTCTTTCTCTTTGCCACCCTTTTCTGGGCTTCACCTCTTCAGCCTATCTACTGACTCTTTGCTCCCATCTACTAAGTGTAATGACTGGAAAGCCTCTCCCTGAAAAGAGTGGACTGAACTCTTTTAATTAGCCAAGGGCATCTGAATAAACGTTAGCCAGAGTGCCCCCAGCCCAAGATTAAGCCTGTTCTTTTGACTGCCCGTGTCTGGTGGCGACTTAATGTCCATCATTCCAGACTATTTGATAGGTTTAGAAAATTCTTTGTAACTTTGGGGGTCCTGTTGTTCCCTCAATTTGAGTACTTCTTAAAAAAATCCTTTATAAGAGCTCTATATCAGCTGGGTCTTTGAAGCCTCTTCCAAGTTCCCCTTTGACTGGCATTCCTATGACGCTGAGCAAGAACAAAAGCTGAGCAAAAAAGGCAGGGTCTTTGCTTCCTGGCTCCAAGCTCACATTCTTGCCTTGGAACATTCCTCCTCCACACCCAGCCACTTCTCCCTAGAGCCTCCATCGTGAAGGGTTCAAGCCAGTCTGTCCTCGTTCCCCTCTCTGCCCAGTTGCCGACTTCCTGGACTTCACAGCCATGCTGGGTGCTTTGGTTCCCCCATGCCCACCCCACTGATTCTCAGCTCCCTTTGTGTGTTGCTTATTAATGATGATGAGGAGGAGGTTGGTGCTGTCTTTCCTGTTAGAATGTAAGCTTCTTGAAGGCAGGGGCTGTTTTTCTTCCTGCTTATATGCCTCCTCTATGCTTAGCATAGTGTCTGGCACATAGTAAGTCCTTAATAAATGCTTGTTGCCTTATTATATATACTTGTCAGCAACAAAATGTCCCTCCCTCTTGTGAAGTATCATCCCTGTCTCCTTATATAAAGTTTAGGGGATAAGTCCCTGCTGTCATGGAGCTTTATAGTCTCATATCATGTATATAACACATGTTGAAGGAGGCAAGTGGGGAAGGGAAAGGATACCAGAGTTAGAGTCCAAAGGACCTGGGTTCAAATCCTGACTCAGCTAGATACTACTTCCATGACTTGATCAAGTCACTTTCCCTCTCTGAACCTGTTTCCTCTTCTGCAAAATGAGGGAGTTGACCTAAGATAGCCTCTAAGTTCTCTTCAGTCTTCAGATTTTAAGATACTTTGGGTTAAAGATCAGCAGTTGGGTGTAAGCAAAGTTTGGACTGTCAGTTCTCTAGAGGCTCAGTATTGGGTCTGGGCAAATCCACCCTAAGGAAATCCCCTCACCTCCTCATGGAAAGATGCTTGGGGTGGGAGAGGGATAGTGCTCTGGGGTTTGGGGCTGGAAGGTGACTTAGAGGGTGTCTAGGTCAAACCTCTGATTTTCCAGGTGAATGAGAAAGTGGAGGGCCAGAGAGATGATGGCATTTCCCCCAAATTGGGAGGCCAGGTCCTTCCACTGGGCCAGATGGTAACTTTCCAGGGCCTTGTGGGCTATCTGGCCCACCTACCAGGAACAAACACTTGCTCTTTCCCATCAGGTCCACTCCCTGTGCTTGACCGACCTAGCTCTCCCAGGGTGTCTTATTTCAGTCCTGGACTCGTCCTTCTCTCCCCTTCCCCACCTCTCCTCTCCTGCCTGGGCTTCTGGTCAGAGCAGTCAACAGTCCCTGATATCACGAGCTTCAGCTCCGCCCTGGCCCCTCCGCGGCAGCTGGTGTGCCAACTTCTGCTGGGCTCGTTCCGGGTGCTGTGGGCTGGAGCAGCCTGTCTCGTCCCTCTGCATGGAGTTGCCCAGTATCATAAACAGGACTTAAGATGGAGAGGGTCTCAGTCCAATGAGGCTCTCCCTTTTCTAGATCTCAGATGGGCACATAACAGGAAGATGCATGTGAGGGCTTCAGGAGCGATATCATCAGGAAAGACATGAAGGAGAAAATCTCAGGACTCAATGAAAAGGTTTTGTTTCCTGGAGAGGGTGTGCCCAGGAGGAGCCTGGGTAGGACTTCCT